CCCCCCCCCCCCCCCCCCCCCCCCCCCCCCCCCCCCCCCCCCCCACAAAGAGGGGCGCACGGTGGGTGCTGTGTGAGGATGCAAAGGGGCGGTGCACAGGGTGAAGGTGCACAGGAAGGGGGTTGCAAGTGTGAGGGGGCACAGAGAGGGTTTGCATGGAATGAGGGTGTGCAGAGGGGGGGTGCAAAGTGTGGGGGTGCACAGGGAGGGGGTGCAGAATGAGGGTGCACGGAGTGAGCTGTGAGGGTGCAAAGTGTGAGGGTGCCAAGTGTAAGGGGAGCACAGAGAGCGTGTGCACAGAGTGGGAGTGCACAATGAAGGTGCACAGAGGGGGGGTGCAAAGTGTCGGGGTGCAGGGCGTGGGGGTGCAGAATGAGGGTGCAGAGTGAGCTGTGAGGGTGCAAAGTGTGGAGGGGGCACAATGAGGGTGCACAGAGTGAGTGCACAGTGTGTGGGGGGGTGAACAGGGTGGAGGTGCATGCGGGGGTGCAAAGTGTGGGGGTGCAAAGTGTGGGGGTGCACAATGAGGGCGCACAGAGGGGGGGTGCACAGTGAGCCCTGCCCCCACGCATGAGGTCGCTGCTGGGTGCAGCTGCAGCTTTGCCTGCACAGACCCCAGCACCATGGGGAGATGCTGCACAGTGTTGACCTGCAGAGCTCACGGCTGTGAGCTTCCAACCCTGCTGCAGCATGGCTGCTTATTGCAGGGCTGCTTATTGCAGGGCTGCTTATTGCCGGGCTCACCTTGACCAGGGCGGAGTGCAGGTACATGTTGTGGGGCATGATGACGGCCCCCACAATGCCCACAGCCTGCTCCAGCTGTGGGGTGCCGCAGCCCCGGCACCCAGGGACAAACAGCCCCTGCAGCACCTGCTTCTGGTTCGGCTTCACCGTCACATACTGAGGGAAAAAATCAACGCTGGGCTCAGCTCTGTGCTCAGCTCTGTGCTCAGCCCTGTCCCCACCCCTGTGCCCAGCCCTGTCCCCAGCTCTGTCCCCAGCTCTGTGCCCACCCCTTTTCTCAGCCCTGTCCCCAGCCCTGCCCAGCTCCGCACAGCAGACCCCCCTTTGTGATGCAGGGACTCTCCATGCTGTGCTCTCCCATCCCAGCTCGGTTTGGGCTCTGTGGCTGCACAGCACGCCCTGCCTCCCCAGCAACACGCAGTACCTCATATCCGAAGGTCAGCGCCATGATGGTGATCAGGAAACCAAAGAACGCCTCCAGCTTCCTCAAACCTGCATGGGCAGCACCAGGCTCAGTGTGCCACTCACTGCTGGACCCACCTCCAGACCCCAGCATCCACCACAACGCCATGGCACCCACCACCCAACCCCAGCATCCACTTCCAGACCCCAGAATCCACTCCCAGACCCCAGCATCTCCCATCTCCAGAACCCATATTCACTCCCAGAACCCAGTATCCCCCACCAGACCCCAGTATCCATTCTCAGACCCCCATCCCCAGACCCCAGTATCCACCCCCAGATCCATCTCCAGACCCCAGTACCCCCCTCACCAGACCCCAACATCCAACACCAGATGCCGGCATCCCCCCCATACCCAAGTATCCACCCCCATACTCCAGTATCCATCCTCAGACCCCATTATCCACCCCCAGACCCCAGTATTCCCCACCAGACCCCCCCATCCACTCCCAGACCCCATTATCCACCCCAGACCTTAGCATCCCCCACCAGACCCCAGCATCCACCCCCACGCCCCAGTTTCCACCCTCTGACCCCAGTCTCCACCCCCAGCCCCCAGTATCCACCCCACACCCCACTACCTCCCACCACACCCCAGTATCCCCCCCCCAGCCCCCACTAACCGTATTTATCCAGGAAGAGGAAGACGAAGGTGTCGGCGATGGTGATGAGCACTCCACCCCACAGTGGGATTCTGAGGGTGGGTGTGGGTGTCAACAGAGGTGTCAAACCCCCCAGAATCGGCCCCATATTCCCCCCCCCCCCCCAATGAGGACCCCCCCATCACTCACTTCCCCACCGACAGCAGGTTGATGGCGATGGCTGAGCCAATGACCTCCTGCATGTCAGAGCCGATGATGGCGAGCTCCACCATCAGCCACAGGATGATCCGAGGCACCTGAGGGGGGACAGGGGGGAAAAAACACTGCTGAGGAGGAGCAGGTGGGGGGAGAGGGGTGAGCTGTGCCACGAAGCACTGGGGTGGGGGGATGGTGGAGGGCAGGCTGTGAATGGTGCCACGCAGCCCTGGGAAGGGGGAGAAGGAGGGGTGGGCTGGGACTGAATCCATGCAGCCGTGGGGAGGGGGAGAACATGAGGGATGGGCCATGAGCAGCGCCCTGCAGACCTGGGGAAGGGGAGAAGGGGAGAGGGTCCAGTATGAAATGGGGAGGTTGGTGGCCCTGCGTGTGGCAGGTTGGAGCTTCATGATCCTTGACGTCCCTTCCAACTCTGGCCACTCTGTGATTCTGTGATTCTAAGAGGGGTGGGCTCTGTGCGGAGCCATGCAGCCTTGGGGGGGAGGAGATGGTGAGGGGTGGGCAGCGGGGGGGGCCTTGCAGCCATGGGGAGGGGGGGGAGG